GTGGGCGTCGCGACCGCTTGCGCCATCTCTTGTCTCCCGTGCGAAACGGCGCCGTGTTGTTTGAAGACCGCTGGCGTCGCTGCGTTTCCATAGGAGCTAAGCCTTTTTCTCTCTTTACTTTTTCCTCAGGTAAACTCGCTCTTTGCAAATTTTACAAAAAAAAGAAAAAAAAGCACCGTCTGTGGGCAACGCTGTACAAAGTCGTAGCGCGTTAGGTTAAGAAACCGAAATTTCCGGTCGATTTAAAGAGCCTGCCGTCTCATTGAATCACCCAATATATCCTTTCTGTAAGCTCCTGGTGTAGGGCCCCCCTCTCGCACTGCTTGGATAGAAAATGGCGTACAATTTTGATTCATACGATTACCAGTGACCTTCGCGCTTTCCGTATAATAATGTGTTAATAGAGCCTCGGTTCGTTGTGTGTAAATAAATTTCCTCTACCACCCCCCCCCCCCCCCCTCTTTCCCCACCTGCCCCGCCTGGCCCTATCCCATTTCGTTCCCGAATCTGGTACCTCTCGTGTGCGCCTCTCGATGGCCTCCTCTGTTCTTTTTTTTTTTTTTTTTTGTCCTGCTTATTTTTTTAAATTGTGTGAATTTTGCGCATGGCTTGCAGGCACTTTTTTCCGCGTCGCGCTTGTTTTCATTTGGTCCCACCTCCTCTGTGACGGTATGTACATCCCCCACAGTCGTCGCACAGCGTTATGAACGTCGACAATGGCTGTTGCCCAGTTCCCATATTTCCCGAGTCAACTCGCGGCGGCTGGCAGCAGCCAATTGCGTCGTATCAGACGATATCTCGCATCCGATATAAAATCTTGATATCAAGCGCTTTCAAGGTGTTTCTGGCCTTGGTCACTCCCGTTCTGATCGAAGCCGGGCCTCTTCAAGTAAGAAGGTTTCCGCAAAGTGACCCGTCGGCACCTGGGCTTGATTTACGGTGACCACCTTCCTGCTAGTGAAATGCGGGACACGCGGGGCAGAGAGAGGTGCGGGGGGGGTGGGGGGGGGGGGGGGGGGATTTATTAAGACGCACACAACGAACCATGGCTCTGTTAACACATTTATTATTCCGTACTGTTTATACACCTGCTAATTGTATTGCAGTAATTAAGCTCAAATAATTTTCACTACCAGTGATAGATTATTTTGAATGCCAAAGATGGTATATGTGCCGAAGTTGAAAACCTAAAAATCGACTGTATCAGAACTCAATGCATCAAATGGAAACAAGAAACAGTAAATATTTTTCTGGTTATTGTTTCCTGTCAACGCTTACTCCTATCAACATGGTACTACACAAATTTGTAACATTATGATCTTTTTTGACCGTTGCATGTGTGGCTGCATTCAGTAAAAAAAAAACAAGAAATCCACTGCAAACCTTTCGCATTGGCATGGTGCTACACAAATTTGTAACATTATGTTCTTTTTCGACCGTTGCATGTATGGCTGCTTTCACTACAAAAGAAAAAAAGAAAAGGAAATCCACAGCAAACCTTTCGTATTGGCATGGTGCTACACAAATTTTTAACATTATGTTATTTTTCGACCGTTGCATGTGTGGCTGCCTTCACTAAAAAAAAAAAAAAAGAAAAAAAAAAGAAAATCCACAGCATACTTTTCGCATTGGCATGGCAATTTGAAAATAATTAAAATATTTTATGTTTAAACTTTTGGCGAGAACTTTTTCGTACAACATTTTCCCACCAAAGGGAGAGGCAGAATATGGCGCATGCGCGTCGGTCCTCTTGCAAGAACGACAGTCGCTTCCCGCAATGCTTGGATAGATCATAGAACATGGCGTACCATTTCGATTCACACAATTACTAGCGACCTCCGCACTTCCCCCTACCCCGTTGTTCGGCAGCACCGTGAGTTGCGGAGTGAATTTTACGACAGTGTAAAATGCGAGCATTTTGTTGATTTGGGATTTTCTCGCGGGACACGGGACACGAGCCTTCAATGCGGGACAGTCCCGCGAGTCGCGGGACCACTGCGCGGGACGGGTGGTCACCCTTGCTCATAGAGATCATATACTAAATCTAGAGGAAAAGGTCCGCCATTTTCCCATACATTCTGGCTGCCGCTAGAGCACTATATAGCTCCTTCGGAGCAGAGTAGCGCAATCTAGAACGCCGCCTCTCGGCGACTAGTGGCGAACGCCCAGAGGTTCCAAGTGCGGTCAGAAATGCATGGAGAACGTGAGAAAATCGTTGTTTCTTCAGTATTGTGGGGATGTACGGAACGGCAATCGTTTTTGACATAATAATGGAACATTTTAGAATAATTTTCGCTAAGTTTTGTGCCCCGCAAGGACGTGACTTTTTAAAAAAAAATTGCCTGAGCGGCATCATGCAGCAGACGACACGGCGACGTCACACCATTCACGTGACCCGCTCCGGCCAACCCGAAAAGCCCATCTCCGCTGCGAGCAAAAATCGTCTGCTTCAAACGCCATTGACTTGGAAATAACCTTCTCAAAATTTGCACACGCATCCGATATCATTAAAACTTTGGTAAAATGTTTAGTGCTTTACTAAATTCACGACAGACTAGTTTTGAAAAGTGTGAACTCGGAGTACCACGTGACTCGCGCCGATCCGCTCTGTCGGCCATGTTGTCGGCAAAACACGGAGTTCAAAGGATTGCGCTACTCTGCTCCGTAGGAGCTATATAGTGCTCTAGCTGCCGCAAGCGGCGGACCATGCAGGCAGACCCTCTGGGTCCCAAACACGGTTACATCAGCAGAGCAGTTTCGTGAACTTCAACAATCCACGAACTTACCGGTGGAAAGATACTCGCGTTCTTTTCGAAGGTTTCTTTTTGCATAGCGCGCAGATGTACGGCCTCGCGTTAACGCTAAACTAAACCATATACCCGGCTTCGCTGGTGGGGCGCGGCTGGGCGCGGTTGAGGAATACGAAACTGCGCAACCACCAGATTTCCGAGATTTCGACAGAAGGGAAGTTAATGCAGCGTAATGACTTTATTGCTTTTTATAAGCGTTAGAATAGCTCAGAATTTAGTTTACAACGTTAAATTATCACTGTTTATATGCTGAGAGTTTTCACTCTTCGTGTTTACCATGGCAACGTTGCTTTCTTTCTCTCGTGTTCTGTCGCTCTCTTTTGCGATCGTTCACTCGGGACCCAGGATGTCGGCGCTAGAGCACTATATAGCTCCTACGGAGCAGAGTAGCGCAATCCTTTGAACTCCGTGTTTTGCCGACAACATGGCCGACAGAGCGGCTCGGCGCGAGTCACGTGGTACTCAGGGTTCCAGGAGGCGGCCCGCCCTATGGGAGAATACATGGAGATCGACACAACACGGCTGATTAAAAAATGAAAGGCGAGTTCACACTTTTCAAAACTAGTCTGTCGTGAAGTTAGTAAAGCACTAAACATTTTATCAAAGTTTTAACAATATCGGATGCGTGTGCAAATTTTGAGAAGGCAATTTCCAAGGCAATGGCGTTTGAAGCAGACGATTTTTGCTCGCAGCGGAGATGGGCTTTTCGGGTTGGCCGGAGCGGGTCACGTGAATGGTGTGACGTCGCCGTGTCGTCTGCTGCATGATGCCTCTCAGGCAATTTTTTTAAAAAAGTCAGGTCCTTGCGGGGCACAAAACTTAGCGCAAATTATTCTAAAGTGTTCCAAAATTATGTCAAAAATGATTGCGATTCCGTACATTCCCACAATACTGGAGAAACAACGATTTTCTCACGTTCTCCATGCATTTCTGACCGCAGTTGGAACCTCCGGGCGTTCGCCGCTAGTCGCCGAGAGGCGGCGTTCTAGATTGCGCTACTCTGCTCCGAAGGAGCTATATAGTGCTCTAGTCGGCGCACGGGATTAGAGCACTATATAGCTCCTTCGGAGCAGAGTAGCGCAATCTAGAACGCCGCCTCTCGGCGAGTAGCGGCGAACGCCCGGAGGTTCCAACTGCGGTCAGAAATGCATGGAGAACGTGAGAAAATCGTTGTTTCTCCAGTATTGTGGGAATGTACGGAATCGAAATCATTTTTGACATAATAATGGAACACTTTAGAATACTTTGCGCTAAGTTTCGTGCCCCGCAAGGACCTGACTTTTTTTTTAAAAATTGCCTGAGCGGCATCATGCAGCAGACGACACGGCGACGTCACACCATTCACGTGACCCGCTCCGGCCAACCCGAAAAGCCCATCTCCGCTGCGAGCAAAAATCGTCTGCTTCAAACGCCATTGCCTTGGAAATTGCCTTCTCAAAATTTGCACACGCATCCGATATTGTTAAAACTTTGATAATGTGTTTAGTGCTTTACTAACTTCACGACAGACTAGTTTTGAAAAGTGTGAACTCGCCGTTCATTTTTTAATCAGCCGTGTTGTGTCGATCTCCATGTATTCTCCCATAGGGCGGGCCGCCTCCTGGAACCCTGAGTACCACGTGACTCGCGCCGAGCCGCTCTGTCGGCCATGTTGTCGGCAAAACACGGGGTTCAAAGGATTGCGTTACTCTGCTCCGTAGGAGCTATATAGTGCTCTACACGGGATTTGCCACTCCTCCTCACCCACCTTTACTCCCTTGCCCTTGCTTGATCTCGCAGCGCCCCCACAACGCTGATCTTCAATCTCCTCGGCAGGCTGCATCTCCACATAACGCGCGTCTGTTGTCCGTTATTTTAGTTTCGCTTTACGGCCTACAATACGCCTGAATCACGGTGGCCTGATTTCACTGATTCTACACCTGCGATCGTGATTGCTGGTTCCCCGAGCTCGATAACTGCCTTAGTTACTTTGCTTAAATATAATTAATCTTATAAAACACGAAATATCTTACCGCACAATGTCGAAAACTCTCACGCAGCGGTTCGCGTTCAAATTCTAAGGTGCAACACGACAACTTTCGATTTCTAGGCTAGATTGGCTAGATGGCGCAAGCTACCGCCTGTTATGAAGGCTACAACCATTTGCATTAATCGGCTCTGGCCTCTGGCCGCTCTGGCATTGGCATTTAGCCAATCTAGAATCTAGACAATCCAATCCAGGGAAGAAGACGCCTCGTGTGTTGCACTTTTTTTTTTGCTACGCGTGTGTGGCGTCGGTTGCCGCGCTTGTGTGCCTTTCTTTCAATCAGGGCTCGCTCGCTGTTCTACTCCTGTTCTACGATGCTTCTGATGTACTACCTGGACGAGAGCGGCAACCGTGTTTACACGCTGAAGCACGTCTCCCCAACTGGGAAGCCGACACTGTCGGCGCACCCGTCGCGCTTCTCGCCGGACGACCGCTTCTCCCGCTACCGAATCTTGGTGAAAAGGCGCTTCAACCTGCTGCCCACCCAGCAGCCCAAGGAGGCCTGCTAAGCATGGCGGGCCTCGAAGAAGTGGGAATTCCCGGCAGGGAGTTTCTTCGCGAAGCTCTAACGAACTGTTCCGATCCCCTACGCGCAATCGAAGAGTTTCAAGAAGAAAATGGCATCCTGTTGCCGTCTCTCCGTCCGATGTTGCCTTTGCTCGACCTGCACGGGGTCTGCAGGCTGGAATTCCACACGTCCGTGCTCGACGAGCTCAAGGAGCGGCTGCTCCAGCAGATCGAAAACTTGGGCAAGCAAGAGGGCCGCGAGAAGAAGCTACGCGAGCTTCTACAGAAAAGCTTTCCCGTGATCCGGGTGCCTGCGCTCAGGCCGGTCGTCATGTGCATCCTCAAGAACATGGAGCACGTCGACGAGAAGTACCTCAAGCAGCTGGTGAGCGACAAGACGCTCTACAAGGAGTGCGACGTCCAGGTGAGGGCTCTTGGGCTTCGATGGCTACTCTAGGAGAACGTGTCGGGATTTTCGCGTTCTCCCCTTCCCGCCCAGCGAATACACGTGATTCACGCTTCTGGCGGCAGTTAGCCTGGGCGTAGTAAATATGCCATTTACAGCTGGTCACGAGAAGACACTCAGTAATGAGATTACCGCATTGCCACCGTTGTAGGCCACGTGGCGACGTCTCGACTTTTTTTCTCTCCCTCTCTCACTGGTTTGGTGCTCCGAATATTATGAAATCTACAGGATTCCTTCCATATCGCACTATTTCGAAAAAGGATGAGGCAGGGTGGTGTATATATTGCCCATCATTTGCGTGTCTAATTACATGCATGGTGCAGAAACCATCACGCACACAGGTAGACAGCTAGCAATTGTTTGCCTACTAGGCAGTAGATGTCTGCGCACTCATCTCTGTTACATCGACAACGCTGCACTCAAGTAATTCCATGCGGACGGGGCGCTGTTGTCAGGCGCTCACAAGCTGTCTTTGGCACATTTTTTAACGAGGGAGCCTACCCTTTGTGTCAAAGTAAACTAATTGAATTGGATATCTTCAGAAAATTTAATGACTGGAGACATGAGACCGTGCACAATATATATGTTCTTTAAATTCATGACTAAACAGATCAAGCGAATGTTTATACTGCAAAAATGATTCCCCCATATAATCAAAAGCAACTGTTTTGGATTTGTTATGAAGGCAGGGCACAATGCTTTCAAGAAACACACATAGTGACTACTTCTGTTCACTATATCTTCTATAAGATCATAAATGCATGATCATAAATATATCTTGCTCTTGGCCTCTCAACCCTCATCTGACTTGGAGACATCTACATACTCAATGTGCGCCACTGCTAACGCTGATTCCATCCCTCAAGCGTATCCGGTACGCCGACGATGCAAATAGTCATACCCTGTTATAAAAAGAAGTGCAGACGTTGTGCACATAATGATGGCATGCAGTTAATTAGTAAAAATAAATATTAGACGATTCTTCACAAATCAAGACAAAAGATTTAGTGATGGACGGAACCTGCCGAACGCCGAACTTCAAGTTCGGCACATGCCAAACTTTTGAAGGGAAGTTTGCAAAGATTTCGCAAAAATAGGCAAATGTTTGTGCACGCGTGAGAACGCGATGGCGCCATGGATTGCAAATGGATGCCGTGTGCTCATGCGGTTATTATCGTACAGTGTAGTGTACCAGCGGTTATGGTGAGGTGCAGAGTAGGTGACATGGTAACTCTGTGTGTGTCAGCCTTTGTGAGTGTAGTTATCTTCATTATTTTCTGCCTCAAGAACACAAGATTGACCAGAAATTGCTGCAGAAACGACATGGTCCATTGTGCAAGTGACAAATGATGTGGTACATTTGAGATATGATTTTCATTTGATCTTTCCAGTGATGCACGAGGTAGTTGTAACATTGACTGACAAGAACTTTAAAGCTCCCCTTGCCATTGTAGCAATCTTGTTTTCGGCTCGCTAGAAGTTTGGGCCAAAACAAAATAATATTGCTTTTCAATTTGCAATATTTCGCGGTGTTGCACATCCAGCATTCCTAACTCTTCCCATCTTCCTAATTGACTGGTGTGTCCCAACATCAGAAACCGGCATCTTAAAAGTTAAAAACGAGACGTTGCGAATAGGGGACGCGCACTTTCATGCAAAGCTGAAGTGACTCAAATGAAAAAACATGCATATTTGCAATAATACTGTTATCTATTCTGATGAAAGCTCAGCAGCCGTTGCATTCATTTTCGTGCCCGAAACGGTAACTCGCAGAAAAAATAAAAACACAGTGTTGCCACCTTTATTTCAACAATACACACTTGCAGGCTTGCGCTGATGAGGCCTTAAAACCGAAATTCATGTATCGTTACTGCGCCTGCCACTACCCAACTCTATTGTCACACCACTTCTGCAAGAAGTCACTTTAAAATTGCCAGTAAACACACCAGAATGACACGGATGCAATTAGCTTGTAGAATATCACCTTATTTAGTAATACCTGCATCAATATGCATTAAAAAAAGAAAAAGACCTGAAAACATTTTTGGCTTGAATAAAGCATTATGTCACCTTTTAGGTCTGGCAACAATGTATTTTTGCCGAATCTCAATGAGGGAACGAAATATCTAGAGGAACATGAGAATATAATTAAGAAAGGGAAGCTGATAGTTTTGTGGACCTAGGATAGATGGCGGCACTAAAACTTTGTATAATAAAAGTTTTGTTGATGATACCAGGTCTTTGACGCATTTATATTTATGTTGGAACGACAAGATTTATAGAAAAGTTACCTTTTATCGAGCAGGTATTCGCACAACTTGCTTTGTCTTTCTACAAGATTCCCCATTGACGTCACGCCGCGTGTTTCTCATGGCCGCCGCTTGCGGCTGCAGGTCTGGGAATATTCTAAGTTTTGCCTCGCTATTACGCGGCGGAATCGCAACATTTCAATGAAAGGGGGTGTGTTTTCTGTCATTGTGACAAGGTGAACAATATCGAAAACAGAAGATGCCAATTCTTTCAACGTTAAAATCGTTGCACAGCTGCTTTAAAAAAGGAAAATGCGCGTTATAATTCACTGAGAAGTTTTTTTTACTGTTTGAGGCGAGAACGGGAGTTTTGAGGACGAAGACATATAGGGCTAAATTTCAAAAGATATGCACATTATGTGCTGCCTGCCATTGAGAGTAAGATAGGCATCGATGCACAGGAAAGAACAGAAGGATTTCATTGTTCACTGACCACACACGAGGGGTTCACTGTAAAGGGCAAGGAGGCAAAGGAATTGATCAGATGCTAAATCGAAACAACATTCGCAGAACTTGAACTGAACGAGATTGGACTACGCGCTGTGCCCATATGCCAAGGGGAAGACGAGACAATAGAACATGTTGTCTTGAGGTGCACAGGGCTTGCTCCTGCCCTCCCGGAGGGGGCGACAGATTTAGCCGGAGCGCCGGGGTTTGCAAACGAGAATGGAAGGATGGATGATGAGTGCATTTTAATAACTAAGAGGAGATTGAAGACTGGTGGATATTATCTAGGGAGAATTGAATGACGTTCAATTCACTGACATAGCTGGGGACAGGTGGGACAGAGAAAAATTGGAACTCCCTCTTGCGTGGCTCCGGCCCTAAGTGTCCACCCTGTCTCCCAGTGGGCCTGGTGCCGGGCTAACGCCAACTAGGCTTGACCAGAGGAAAATCGGGGACTTCCTCGCCGGGGGTAGAGGTGGGGGTTGATGTTTTTAGTTTTTTTGTCCGATCCTCCAAAGGCCATCCTGGTGATATCCCACACTGCCCGGTGATAGTTCCGAAATTGCAGAGGGTAAGCAAATTGGCGAAGTAAAGAAATCATACTTATTGCTCTTAGCTTCTAAGCTATGTGGAGCGAGCTACCGCCCGTTATGAAGGGTACAGCCATCAGCATCCATTCATTATTTGTCGAATCTTTGGAAAAGTTGGGCAAAAATTTGGCTTTGCTGAATCTCGAGATTCGGCAAAAGTTTGGCCCATCACTAAAAAAAATTGTTGTTAAACACAATGAAAAGAAACGAATACAATTCCTTCACCAAGGCGCGGAGGGGAGAGAGGAGTGGTGATTTGAAGGCGGCGTCACGTGGTTCCAAGATGGCAGCGCCCGTGCGATGAAGGGTGAAAAGGTCTGTAGCAACCACCGACATCCACTCTGTGTGCGATCTGTGATTCGCAACTGCCGAGTCACTTCTCGGTAACTCTTGGGAGCGGCCATCGATTCCGTTCATCCCGTCACAGCTCAGATTTACTTTTTACTGCTTTCTCATTTTCGTTGTCATAGAGCTACACATTTGTTGCTTTTTTGGCGTAAGATAATAACTACCTAGTAATTTTGCCTAGGTCCTTTGAAACCTTACAATGAAAACAAACTGCTACATCAACATGCACTCACTCAAACTTGCATGGTACAGTTTGTACTTGTCAAGCCAAAAGAGGCACAAATTTGCTGCCAGGCTGTCTTGTTTTCAGGTGCTCGTTCGAATCGGGGTGCTGCTTGCTATAAAGAAATGGGTAGTCTCAAGCGGCATTGTTCAGAGCCGCTGCGTAGAGCTCATGGCTGCTGCTGCAAACCGAAGCATTGGGCTGACATGTAGGCTGCATCTTACACAAAAATGTAGGAGTGCCAGATGTATGCCAGCCCGACACGCCATGCATCACTTCCTAGAGGTCACTGATTGGCTTGTCAACTCAGCGACCGGTACGAAAAATCGGTTGGAGAGTAATGGCTGTCGTTTGACCGCCGTAACTCGCAAATGTCCCCCCCCCCCCCCCCCCAAAAAAAAAAGACCGTGTTTTTTTTTTTGCATTATCAGTGTTGTGCACTCAATATTAGAGTTAGCAATGGTGAACACCCCCCTTACTCCCCCCCCCCCCCCCCCGACCAAGCCCTTCGTCAGCTTCCTTTAGTGAAAAAATTTATATACACCAGCCAAACGTTTAGTTTTTGGTGACAATCTAGCCAACATCTCAGCCGTAACGTCATATATCACCCCCCCCCCCCTCCTCCTCCCAAACCTGAAGCATAAATTCACCCCTGACTCACCCTCTCAAGTATCAAGACTTCTTGGAACAGCATTCACTCTTCATTTCCACGATCACCTGCTTTGCATCTGTTTTGTGCGCTGGAACTGACCGAGTGGCCCGTGTGCAGGTGAAACGTCAGATCTGGCAGGAGCACCAGAGCCTGTTCGGGGACGAGGTGCTTCCCCTGCTGTCCCAGTACATCCGGGACAAGGAGGAGGCCCTGTGGTCCGGGCCGGCCGACGTGGCCTTCTTCGGGCCGTCACCCAAACAGCGTCGCCAGGGGCCCGTCCTCCAGAAGCTGCTGGTCATGGTGGGGCGCAACGTGGTGCTCTACGACATGGTGCTCCAGTTCCTGCGCACCCTCTTCCTCAGGACGCGCAACTCTCACTACTGCACCCTGCGCGTCGAACTGCTCATGGCACTGCACGACCTCGAGGTTGGAACTACCCTCTCGGCTAGTGGGGTTAACTCTGAAGCCGTTAAAAACAGCACAGAGCTGAAAGTAGGACGAGCCGAAATACACAAACACAGCTCTGTTCGCGTACTTCTGCTCTTCCTTTGTCAGTCTTCGTGCTGTTTTTAGTTCTTTAATACATGAACAACTCGGCCATATTTCAACAATAGTATAACACTAAAGTCACCGGGTTTTTGTCTCATCCTGCCAACTTGCTCATGTATACCTTGTTTCACCTGAATGGTGCATTCACATTAGAAGCAGATCCGCTCATTCTCAACCGCAAAGCGGGTGGGATCGAGCGGTTGGAGCGCGTTTTTGCCGACCGCTACAGGACCGATTTGCCCGAACCGCGAAATGGCAACCAATCGCAACGCGACGCTGACATGATGTCGGTGGCTTTTGAAACAAGATGACATCTGTTGCTGGGGAGGCGTCCAAGCGCTGTAGTCCTAACGTTACAGCAGACAAATCAGCAATGAAATGTGATGTTCACGTTTGTCACTTGAATCTGCTGCGAAAAGAATTGATTCATAATCTTAATGGGATTCGCTTCAGTGATTTGGTTCGGGTAAGTGTTTGTTTATTATTCCGGGTGCCACAGCCCATTGTTCGCTGCCTTGTTAGTCTTTGCCCGTAGAATGTCGGAACCCGCCTTTGATCGACTGAAATGTCAGCAGGAAGGGTCCACTTTGAAGAAAGGGTTGGGACATTTACTTCTGAGTCAGCAAGGCACTCCCAGCTGGGCTTTGCTTGTAGGCGAACTCGACGGAATCGCAGGCGGGTTTTGTGGGTGCATGTCTCTTTTTTCGCTGCCTGAACTCGTGATGCGTGCGAACATCCTGAAGAAAAATCTTCAGAGTGCCAAAGTAGCAATATCTTGGCTTTGGACAGTGGATTAAAGTGGACTTTGGATGGTGAAACAGGGTTGCCAAATGCAAGTCTCGAAAGGTCACGCGTAATCGCCACGAAACCGCCAACCACCTCTAGGTGTGTCTGAACGGGGTACTCGCGAACTGCATCTGCAAACGCTTCGTAAAGGCAACTCAACCGCTAGTGTGAATGCGTCATAAGTTCAGATGCAGCCGACGCCATGAGCTGATGGGACCAATCAGACAGCTTCTAAAGCGCCCCATCATGGTGTTCGTCATGTTTCTGTATGTGGTCTATCATAGCTGGACCAACCATATACAAAAAAAGCCCGGTGACTAATGCTTTTGATGCTGCTTGATTGGTCCCGTTAATTTGTAGCTTCGGCTACGTCTGGACTTAAGCTAAAACGAAGTATAGCACCGCTGTCGAGCGATGTATTGTCAGGTCTGAAGGAAACATGGGCAGCAGAACACGTCGGTTTCTATTCATGCTGCGCACCCGGAGATCTGTGGAAACTAAAAAAAAACGCTCGGTTGAGATGGGGGCTGAGAGGGTGCGAGACCTACCAGCAGCTCTTGGGCAGTGGGGCTGTGGCACTGGTTTTCACGTGTTTCCTACGACCGACCAGGGTGGGATAGAGATTGGATACGACTGCCGAGTTGGCATTTGGCTGGGACTGGCATTCGGTCAGTGGGAACGTGAGTCTCGATTGAAAGCTGACGCAGCGCTCGTGTATGGTCTGCGTCAAGCACTCGGTGCTTGTAGGCAATATAGAAAAACCGGCACTACGACCTTGCTATCTGGAGGTCTACAGTGATTGGTACGCAACTCCGGCTGGTGTGTTTGGCGTCCTATTCCATTCGTGCCTCGAAAGTGGTCCCAAAGTTGCAACAAAGGATGTCGCAGAAGACTGAGTAATATGCGATCGGACGTTGTGGTCCTGGTGGTTGGCGATAGAAGGTCTGGTGAAAAACAAAAGGCGGGGAAGAATAACACAGTCGCCGTCGTCGTGCTGTCCCAACTCCTTGCTGCCGAAGCTTAAGTGCTCTGTCGAGCTTGAGAGCAACCTGCTGCATGACATCACCAGGATTGCAATCGGCAAGAGAAATTATGACGTCCACGGGCGGAAATTTGGGGAACCACTTTTTCGCATGCGGTAGACATACCAATCGGAGATGCATTTCAGGCATCATAGCGGTTCCCACACTCACAGCCACCATCTCTGCTGAGCATTTTTATCAGTTCCAAGGAAACTCCAGGAGGCAGAGCTTGTATTAAAAGCCATGCGTTCTGCCCTTTGCATTTCATTTCGCCTTAATAGTACCTGCAGTATGTGTGGTGAAGATGGTTGTCCTTGTTAATCGAGTGAAACATGGCTGTGTATTTTGCCCAGGTGCATGGCAGGTGAACCAAATCTGCCAGTTGAGTATTGAGACTTCCAGGCACAGGGCTGTGCTTTGTACAGCAATAATGTAAAATGCACTTTTAAGTAGATCTCTTCCCAGTGTCTACAAAGTCAATCATGTGATCTAAGATACTCCCTCTATGTGCATAGGCAAGAATTTGTCACTGGTCGAAATTAATACGCATTAGGGCAGATCGACCCCGATAATCTGAATTAATCAGCAGTTCATTGCAGAGGCATACCGGATGTCCTTTGTTGGTTTGGAACATAAAGCCTAGAAATTTATATTTGTTTATTTTAGGCAAGACATGGTAAACAACTATCTCCTGTGAAAAATTTGATATGTCAGGGCAGAGCTTGTCGAGTTCTTTCTCTTCTTTCTGATTGTGTATGCATTTGCGGCACGGTCGTAGAGTGTCTTAACATACTGCAGTTTTATACTCTGTTGCAGCTTAAGAAACGCAGGACAAGATCCTCGTGCAAAGCCCTCCTCTTTTTCCACTTTAGCAGAGTGAATACTGGAGAGGAGGTGAGAGAGGAGGCAAGTTCTCACTGGCGTTCGCTCTATGGAAGTGGAAACAGCAAGTGCTTTGCGGGTGGAGCTCGTCCTGCTTCCCTGAACATGCAACAGGGTATTGCAGACGAGTTGCACTAATGCCCCTTGGACTGTTGTGTGTGGCAGGTTCAGGACATCACCGCTGTGGACCCGTGCCACAAGTTCACCTGGTGTCTGGATGCCTGCATCCGAGAAAAAAATGTGGACACAAAGCGATCCAGGGAGCTCCAGGGGTTTCTGGACAGCATCAAGCGGGGTCAAGAGCAGGTGCTCGGGTGGGTGCCGTAACACGGCCGCTCCCCTTTGTTTGCTCACTGAAGATTCTGCCGCTAGAAAACTATTGCCTTGGTGGGTTTGGACTGGGCAGCAGACTTTGCTACATTTATAGACCATTCCATGAAATGCTCTCAGGGCAGCGCCATTCTATTACTTCCGGGCATTGCAAGGAATTGGGCAGGGTAAAAGAGGGAGAGGGCATGGCCCGATCCTGACAGCAGGTGAGAAACCGGGCAGTTCTCCAAGTTTGGGCAGTACCCGTGGGGTGTACCGAACGTACAACGCTCATTTGCTGCTGCCGCTGTGCAGTCTTTTGTGATCTTTTGTCTTATTTCAGTAAACAATCAGCTAGCATACTGTTGTTCGGTTACTTCAATAGCAATATCATTCAGCAGCAGTACCACCCTCATCTGTTGCATCTGTTGCGTTGGCAGAAACCACGTGGAATCCTGTTTGTACAGTTCCGAGTTCAAAAAAGTCTTGCTTGGCTTTTGTTAAACGCCATGCAAGTGTAGATTTTTTCTCACTCCGGGGGGTCAGAGACATTAAAACCCACTGCAGTTTTCCTTGTGTGTTCCCAGCCAAATGTTATAGAATTTTGTAAGCTAAGAAAGCACTGTCACCTTGAGGTTGGCTGTTTTACTTTTATTTTTTTTTATGAATTACAATAAACAACCTTGCACAAACCCCACTGCCAGCGCACACGCATCATTGTGTTTTCGGTGGTACATTCAAGTCAATAACGCGCTCATTAGTCGCTTTCCACGTACCACCTACGGTAACCTTAAACATCACAAAAAGTTATTTTGGTTACAAATAGACCTCTAGAAACATTCACGACAATGCCAAATTCTCCATAACACCATCTAATTTCTTTTTTTTCTTCACAACAATGTAAGCCATATAAGGTCCTCATATCCAAGTTTAGCAAACAATGAAATATGTGCAAATTCATTGTTCGTAAAAAAGAAAACAAAAACTCACTTAGGTGTTGTTTTATGCTTAATAAGCATGTTTTTCTTGTTTTTTTAATTAAGGCTTTTCACAGATATCATAACTTACAGCACAACTGGGACAAGGACAGACAGAGGAGAAAACACAGGACAACTGCTGAACTAGCAACTGATTCTATTGAAAAGAAAAAATACACATGATGCTGCTGCTGCTTGTTCAAGCATGCCCTCCGTGGGTCTGGCTCTTCTTTCACTCAACATGAAACCGACCGAGTTATCCAAGACCCAAAAAGCTGATCTCACGGCTCGTCAAACCGTGTAATATAAACAGACTGGTCCTACCTTTCCAGCTAGAACAGTGAACGTAAAGCAGTGGCCCTGCTAACATGGTTTTCACATTGTCATCTCTGACATGGCACAGAAACTGTCTTCCTGGACATGCACTAATCCATATATTGGATAGCTTGTGTGGGGCCCACATAAGCTATCTACCTAACAAACCTGCTGTGAGTAAGGTCTGTAGTAAAATCTTTATTTTTTTTTGTAGCCATTTTGGTTTACCACATACCCAATCTGCTTCAACTTCAAAAAGTGCTTAATTTAAAGAAAAAAGATAAAATAATAATTTATTGTTTTATAGGTTATATACAAGGTGGTCATCTTCAGCACCCCCTCAGCACAAAGGCCCCTCCAATGCAATAAGGCTTTTTTAAAGGGCAACTCCGCTTCATTTTTGATATTTAGAAAACTATGCACTCCTCTTCAGTATCATATAGGAAGACCACATGTAAATTACGATCTAATTCCGTCTATATATTTAATAAACTGGCCAGCAAACTTTCAAATGAGCCAAGTCGCCGAAATCTGCCAACTCTAGCGTGCGCCGCGAGGCGCAATCATCAGCGCAGTCAATGCCACTGAGTTGGAGCAGCCAACATTGAGCCACTACGTCAGAGGCATGTCTACGTCATTTTCACGTTTTGTTTGTTTTTACTTCTCGGAGCGAAATTGAACGATGAATGACGTCATGAGTTTCTCCTCCGGGTGTTGGCTCAACGGCGTCCACGTGATCACCGTAATACGGATGCACTAGTTTGCGCTGCCCTGCGCGCTCCTTGGGGCTGAGAGAAGTTTGTTATGTCTTGCCGCTGCTCTAGCTTGAGAAGGACGTTTTGTTTACGGTGTGAGCCCGGGCTGCATCTGCAATGCCTAGCTGCGATGAATGTCGAAAGATCCAAAGTCTCACGATGTTGTGTTGCTGCCTGCTCGGATTACCAGTTGACCAGCCTGGGAGGTGTCTTTCACAAGTTCCCACACGAGGTTGTAGCAAACTCCATTGGTGAAAACTGAAGAGCAAACGACACTTGCGCTTTGCTCTACGTTCGCCGGCCGTTGCATAAGGATACTGTGACGGCCCCCGTAGGGGAGGCACAGACGCGCTGTGGTGGGCCCACGCTGAGGTGAGGAGAGATGAGGCGAAAACAGTATTTACTGTTTAATAGTAATAGCAGTCGGTGCTGGTGCCACCCGCAGCTCACCGACCGTCGTTGCGTTCTGAAGGGTTGGTGTCCCGGGCTGTTCGTCACTGTGCTGGTGCTTGGGCGAGTTGGCTCCGGGGCTCACGGAGTTCAGGGGCTTGGAGCGCTCACGCCAGCGGGTGGCCTTGTGGTTGAGGCGATCCGGGCTTCACAGGTTTTGGGGGCTTGGGGCACTGACGCTAGTGGGTAGCCGTTGTGTTTCTCTGGTCGGGCTCACAGGGTTCTGGGGCTGGAAGCGCTGACGCTAGCGAATGGCCTTGCGGTTGAGGCGATCCGGGCTTCTCAGGGCCCGGGGCCTAAGCGCTGACGCCAGCGCTGAGGCCTTTCCGTTGTGCTTCTCTGGTGCATTGTTTCTAGCGCTCTCTCCAGCGCACTCCCTGGCACTTTTTCTGGCGCGGTTGCCGCGCGGACTCGCTTCCCCCGACGCATCTTCTCCCAACTTGTTCCCCATGTCCGGTTTCTCCGCCCTCCCTCTCCTCTTTAGTCTTCTCCCCTTCCCCCTCTCCCCCGGGCCGTCACTTTTTGCGCCATCCCAAGCGGCCTGCCCGCGTTACGTGTCCTGTACCTTGCCCCCACGAACGTCACAAGACCACGTGGTTCGACGTGACGTGGCCATGACTCTGACGACACGAGACCAATGTTGCCTGACGCAACCGAAGTTTCGGTATCTGCTGATGTTTAAATTAAGATTACACAAAGAATATTCCACATTTCGCGAATCCGAAGACATAGAGCTGTTTAGTAGTGCTTTGGGAAACGGAATCGCAAATAAGCCTAAAATTTTTGGAATTGAGTGAAGTGCCCTTTAAGCAAAAGGGGGCCATTGTGAGTCAAACTCGACACTTAGCCTAAATCTTGCTCCCCGATGTTATAAGAATGACCACTGGACTTCTTGTTACCACAGTTTCTAATAGCCTGATGGAAAGGAAATTCTATGGACAAGTAATTGAGTATCTGAAAGAATAAAAGCTTGAACTGAAACAAGGACAAAAGAAGAAACTTGTACGACAAGGACAGGCGCCTTGTTTCTTGTTTCGTTCGTGTTTCACTTCGTGCTTTTAACCAAAGGGCGATGCATCAATTTTTTTACTTGGTGCGATACCGCTTAGATTGAATCCCTGATTGTTTATGACCTATGAAACACTCATTCATTTTTCACCACACGCAATTAATGTTGCAGAACATTTTTTTTTAAAAAAGTGAGTAGAGCTCACCTTTTCAACTTGCAGCCAGAACAAGTGGCCACGTTATCTGGAGCCGATTAGTATATGCCGCCAATATTGATCACAGCCACGCGCTGGGGTTGGCAAAGCATGGGACACATGCTGAGTTCCAGACATTGTTATGGTTCGGCTATTGTCATAATTTCCTCGATTGGACTCGGGGCACAACCTGAATGCTTGTTCAACTATTGATTATCACGAGCCCGAATCGAGTGCTCATGCAATGCTCGGGTTTAACCTATGAGCCACATTCAAATATCGTCACTGGGCGGTACTGCGACTGCCCAGCTGCGTCATAGAGTTTTGCGAAGGAGAGATTGAACAAAAACACGCTTGCTTTTGTTCTTGGAATCATACCGCAACAGAGGAGTTCCTTATGTCAGTGACATTGCGTGCGAGTATACTTGGGTCCCATTAGTGTCAGTAAACTCGTAGACAGTGAAAGACATTCCAAGCAAATATCATTGCACGGCCTCTTTAAATGATATGAACCAACTGCACATAACATAAGTTTTATTGTATCTGAAAGAGGAATGGGCATTTTGTTGAGTTCAAGTACAACGACTTCCTTAAAGGGGCCCTGCAACAAATTTATGACTGGTTTTTAATTTGCACCAAACCTGAGTGCACTGAACGTAGTAACTTAATGAAGCTTTTCTTTTCTCAAATTTCAGTTTATTTTAAAAGTTATAGGCAAATTAGAATTACAAATACAAGCAAAAAGTAATGTGCTTCATGACGTATGTAGGTCCTAGCTTGAGTGGCCGTGAACTAGAGGAGAGGTAGTGAGCTCATCGAGCGCTCACGGCTGTCGCACTCCGTGTCGACAGCTCGAGAGGGAGCCAATAAAGCATGAGTTGGATAGGCTGTATGAAGCGGACGGCCAGGGCGGCTCACATTGCATTTGCTGCGCGATTAAAGACTATTTCGGCATAACACTTCATTGGCAACAAACGACAGCGAACAGGGGGTAAAGATCAGTTCAGAACGGGAGCTACTTCGCGCTGCCATACTGCCAAATGGCCAAATCGCTAGCAGGGCCCGCGCCGAAGGCCTTCGGAACACTCGGAACTGGTCGGATCCTCGAGCCGGTATACGACCGCAGCGCCGCCGCGTACACCTGGTACCTTTGTACGCTCGCCGTTCGTCGGTGCCCATCCCACTAGCCCTTTCTACTATGCACCGTTTTTTCCGCCGCTTGGTGGCGGGTATGTCGACGGGTCATTTCTTGTGTCCGTACTTTATGAACTGGATTTGTTTCTTTTGTGATCTAAAATACTAAACAAAAACTACTTACATACATAATAATTGAAACGGTTCGCAACACTTATATTTTGTATGCTTTTAGCGGCTGTAACCAGTAGTAAGGCCCGGACCTAAGACGTCACATATCGTGCTCTTTCGCAAAGCGGGTCACCCTCGTAGGTGGAGGAGGTTTCTGCGTTGTTTGGTTAAAGTATGACGCACTGATATTTGGTTACTCTCCGTGCCCGCTGGCTCGCCCGAACCCCAAGAGACGTGAAAACCACAAAAAGGTAGACGCTTGAATATGATTGCAGGGCCCCTTTAAGTGAGGTGTTCAGTTTTGTTTTTTAATTTTGTTTTTAAATTGCCTTTTATGTTCATAACGATAACTTGTTGCAGATAAGCATAAAGCATACCTTTCAACATTTAATGACTGGGGCTTGGATGTCCGTCTCCTTTTTCACAGAGACCTGTCTATGACCCTCTGCGATCCGTATGCCATCAACTTCCTGGCCCAGTCATCTATGAAGATCATTCACCACCTGATCAACATGGAGGGATTACCACGGGTGAGGATTTGAAAGGGAACTGGCTGGGTTTCACTGTCTGCTGCACCCAATAGTTTGCACGAGCAATGTGTTGTGATCTTTGACTAGATACGGCCGTGGGCGTACCAACCGGGGGGGCAAGGGGGGCACTTGCCCCCCCAGTTCTCAGAGTGGGGGGGCAAGGCATGCGTTTTGCCCTCCCTGAAACGGCCGCCACTGGGCAGAGCAGACACAGGCCGGCGGCGCCAAGGAATATTAAGGGCACTGCCCCCCGACCCGCGCGGGCATATTTTTAACGCGCAGGCGATACAAACCCTAGCAACGGTGCTCACGCACGCCGGATTGGCTGGTTTGTGGAGCCTTGCCCCACGAACAAGGCTACACGGTAACCTAACGGAATCCATCCGCGAGACATGGGCCGAACGGGCCGTCCAGACCAGGACGTAGGCCCTTACACAAAATAAAGTTTTGCTTGCTTGCTTGGAGATAGGCGCTGCCGCCGTCAACATAGGCAGCGGATGCAATGCGAGTTTCCGAAGAGGTAGCGTAACTTAGTGGTGAGATGTCTGCCTCATACGTGTCAGACCCGGGTTCTATTTATGGTGTGGGCCGGCTTACTTCTTTTTATTTTTTTTCTCGAACATTTTGTTTTGTCGAGGCATTTGGCGATATTTACATTTCTTTTTTACCATTAACACTAAAAAAACGAATGTTGTTGACGAAACATCGCTAAACTAAATCGTATCGACTCTATTTATGGAAGTGCATGGGGGGCAGCGGGCTTGGGTTGCCGACCGGACGCCGCAAAGCGGCGTGTACGGGGGGTGGGGGGGCTAGGTGGGTTAATAGATTTGTAATTAGCAGCCGCACACCGGCGCCGCGAAGCGGCGTGAACGCTGGCGCGGGGGTGGGTTAACGCGCTTCGAGTGATACACGAGCAGCCCATCCGGCGTGAGCGTCGTTGTTAGGGGTTCTATCGCCTGCACCGTAAAAGGAGCAGTGTGTGCACCTCCTGTAGTGGGCAAGAATTCCTACATTGGAGAGAAGCGGGGACAAGCCCTTTCTTCAAATGCGTCAAGTCTCCTTGAGCTTCGGAATACAAAGAAACGCCACTATTCGGAGCTAATCCCACAGTTACTCGACCTCTCTTGCGTCGTGTCTGTTCGCTCCCCGCGCCTCGTAGCAGTGTTGCAGTGGGGGGGCTCGTTAAAATTTTGGGGTTTTTTTGGACTATCTAAATCACTTTCTTCCTTCCCATCCCCCCCTTTTCTACTCCGCATGCTTCCCCCTCTGCAAATATCAGCTGACCTTCTGACATCTTTTCTGTGTTGATAGGCAAAACAACCACTAAAATTAGAAAGTAATTTGTAATTTGAGTGGAAGTCACTCGGAAAAGTAGTTAAAGTAAACTACGAATTACTAGAATATAAATGTAATTAAAAGTTACTAAACTACCCAGAAAAGTAGTTAAACTACAGTAACTTGAGTAAAGTAGTTGAACTACGTACAAGTCTGGCCCGGCAGGCGCTCTGCGTAAGGGTTTTCACTTATCTGCCTAGCCCCGCACACCATCACATGGGCCAAGAAAGGTGTAGTTTTACTGCAGAGGAGAAATCAGCAGGGTCCAAGATGGTGACAATGGAGGATGGGGGACTGTTCCAGTGGCTGATGGCTTGAGAAAGGAATGACCAATTGAAAGCGTTAGTAGAGTCAGAAATGTGCTTGATGGTGCAGACGTTGTTGAGGCGAGAAGATGTTCGGTCGGGGGGTAATAACAAAGTGGTTTTGAGGTCGGGAATGTGGTAGTGGATTTTGTGAATAAAGCACAGCTGAGAGACTTTTCTGTGAAGCTGCAAAGAGGACATGGTTAGTTCAGTTTTTAGCGCTGAGACACTGAAAAAAAAAGTCATAAGTGGATGAAATGAAGCGAGCAGCTCTGTTCTGAACTGCCTCTACAGGGTATTGATGAGGTACAGTCGATGGGTATTCCAGATGGTTGAAGCATATTCTATTTTTGGTCTGACGTACGTGTCCAAGGTTAGCTTACGAACAAAGGGTGGAGCCCTTTTTAAGTTACGTCTGCTTAGTCCAAGAGTTCCAGATGAATCGGCAGTAATGACTTCAATGTGGTTATTTTAGGGAAGGTCAGATGTTAGTCTTACACCAAGGTATTTATACACAGTAGCGGTCTCAATCAGATCGGAGTACAAGAAGTAATTAAATGACAGTGTTTTTTTTTTTTCTTGGTGAAGTGGATTAGTTTGCGTTTATACTTGTTTAATGACATAATCCACTCTTTGCACCAATTGTTAATTTTCTCTAGATCTTCCTGAAGCTGGTTATTATTTTGCACACAAGTTACTTTGTTATGGATGACGCAGTCGTCGGCGAAAAAGCGGTTTTTTGAAGAAATCCCAATGGGGATGTCATTAATAAATATTAAAAAGAGTAAGGGCCCAAGTACGAACCCCAGGGGAACACCAGGAGATACATTTATTAAGGAAGATTCATGATCATCATGGACGTGACCTGTACACGGGAAAAAAGAAAGTCACGAATCTATGCAAACGGTTATTTGGTCGAGGCAAAAAGATGATAGCTTACAAAGAAGGCGTTGATAAAAAACACAACCGAACGCTTTGGAAAAAAAAAAAAAAAAACTGCGTCAGTTTTTTCATTTCAAGGTTCAAGGTTAGTGTGCAAGTCATGGATGAAGTCGCAGAGTTGTGTTTCGCAGGAAAGTACAGTCTCCGGCGATATGAAAGACCCACTGGGAGCGCGTGGCCGAGGCGGTGGCTGGTGGGGGCGCTGCGAGCGCTCCGGGCAGTTCCATTCTGCTTCGAGGGGAGGACGCTCATTCGGCACTCGGCACAAACTGATAAGCGCGTTTCGCTTTATCTGAGCCCGAGTGAGCGTCCTCCCCTCGAAGCAGAATGGAATTGCCCGGAGGGCTCGCAGCGCCCCCGCCAGCCACCGCCTCGGCCACGCGCTCCCAGTGGGTCTTTCATATTGCCGGAGAGTGTACCTTTTTGAAAACCGTGTTGCTGTTTAAAGAAAAGAAATGGGATGATAGGTGCCTCATGATATTGGAGTAGAGGATATGCTCAAGTAGTTTGCAAGAAATTGAAGTCAGTGAATTAGGGCGATAATTAGATGCGGAAGAGCGGCTGCCCTGTTTAAAGACTGGGAATTACCCTTCCCACCTTTTGGTCAGATGGAAGGCACCTTTGAGATAAGGACTGAATAAAGATAAGTTTTAAATACTCACTCGAAATAACACTGGTGTTTCTTTTAAATTTTAGAGTTGATGTTATCGGTTCCAGCGGACGAAGTAAGTTTTAGTTTATCAATCAATGTTATAATACCGGTGGAGTTAACGTTAATAGGATGCATGCGCTCGTAAAGCTCTTCAGGGAGAGTGGGGACGGAGTCCAAGCACTCGTTAGTAAACACTGATGAAAAATATTCGTTAAACACAGAACTATCATGGTCGACGTTGCACATCCGACCATTCCTAACTCTCCCCATCTTCCTAAACGTCCGTGTGTGTCCGAACACCAGAAACCGGAATTTTAAAGGTTAAAAACGGCACGTTGCGAATATGGAACGCGCACTTTCATGCAAAGTTGACGTCAAGTGACTCAAATCGAAAAACGTGCATATTTACAATATTGTTATCTCTTCTGGTGAAGGCTCAGCAACCGTTGCATCCGTTTTCGCGCACGAAACGGCGACTACCAGAGAAAGTAAGAACGCAGTGATTGCCTTTATTTTAACAATGTAAACACACTTGCAGGCGTGCGCTGATGAAGCCTCAAAATCAAAGCTCTCGTAGTGTGATTCGTGACTGTGCCGGCTACTACCCAACCTCGTTGTCACGCCACTTTCTGGAAGCATACACCAAAATTACAAGTAAACACACAAAAGCGACATCGATACAATTATCTTCTAGAATATCACCTTATTTAGTCATAACTCTTTCAATAGGCACTACAAGTTGTATTTATTTTAAGAAGAAGAAGCAAAATTTTTTTCGTGAGAAAAAACAAAATATCAATGTTAAGTCTGGTAACGTTGTAATTTTGCCGAATCACTGCCAAATCTTTAGAAAAGTTGGAGAAAAGTTGCGCCGAATTTTCGATTTGGGGGGGGAGAGGGTCTGGTTTGCCCCCCCACTCAAAAACAAGTTGGTACGCCACTGGATACGGCATGTATTGTTTTAGTAAAGTTTGTTGGTTGTTAGGCTGACACTTTCGTCTAAGGGTCTGTCGCTACCGTGTGCTACGGCACCAAGCATGCGGCTTTGAGCATATGTAACTCGTTTTTATTGGGGCACTACAGCTGAATCTTTCAGGAGACAATTGGATTATTCTTTTGATCACTTTCGGCTGCTGTCTACTGACCTACTGTTTTTGAAAATAAATATCATCTGAATATGTCAGTTCTTAAAAAGTCTCTTTTGACAGTCATGTGTGAAATGAAAGTGAGCACTGTAGTGCTTTTATCTTTCCTTTGTTTATTTATTTTGAAGTGTATCTGATAAAAGGGTCAATGGCAAATGCTAGAGATCCCGATGGGGCACTGCTTTCTTGGACGTTCCACTAAACTATCAGAACTGCTCTAGTTAGTTGAAGGTAACACACTTAAATTGTCCAATAGAAAAATAAACTTCAACCAGAATAACGAGTACAAGCAAAAACAAAAAGGCATAAATTTGGTACAAGGATTCAAAATATGTAGAATCTCGGAAATGCAAGGGGCTTCATTTGTTGCAATTTTGATGGACAGTTTTAAACTTATTAGTAAGTTGTTAAGCTACATAGCACTGGAGACTGCATTATAACTATCTAGGATTCTGTGCTTTCAGAGTTATTTCTTGTGAAATTGGGAGGGTGTTTTTTCGGAGTTTATTTTTTGCTGAAAATTCTGGATTTGTCGGAGATTATTTTTGCTTGATTTTCAGTTCTCTGAAATTCGGAGTTTGTTGTATTCTGTTCCCAAGTTTCAAAAATAAAAAATTGTGGAGCCCATCCACTTCACGTGAAGATGGGAGGACCAGCCAAGCTGTTATCTTTACGACAACTCTATGACAACTATATGACATTTATATGAGTTACATGTGATAGCAATGAAGACACGTACACAACTTCATTGTTTAATTGTCTTTATTTAATTCTTAGTGACTAAAGTGATCATTGCCTTATGGTCACTTCTGGGCAAGTTCTAAACCCAATCTTTCGAGGCACACCTCGAGGACAGTTTTTTTCTGATTGAGGCTAAGTCTCTTTATCAACATAGTGGAAGCGAAAGAAAACAAGGTTAGATTTGTGCATTCTGCCCTCAGCCTCATCACAGCGCACTCTTAGCTGAGATTAGTCCGCGACTATATAACAAGGGATCAGGACCTCACTATCTAATAATGCCAAGGAAGGCTGACTCATGCAGGTTGCCCCCTCTTTTTATTTATACTTGCCACGACCAATTGGAACGAAGGATCGCCATTTAAACGGGAGTTGTCTGTTAACATCTATGGACACATTATTTTCCAGATTCTAGCACATAACAGCTTTACTGTAAAAAATATAATAAAGCCCAGGTATCATACCCCGTTGTCCTAAGGCAGGGGTCTCAAACATGCAGCCTGCAAGCCGAATGTGGCCCACAACTCGCTGGCCACATGCTGCCAGCGAGTCTAGAGAACATAATTTCAAGAAAAAACATTTTGTGGGCTTTGTCATTCTCTAGGCTCATTTCATCAGTCCTAGTAAGGGTATAGAAGAAAAATCAGTATGATTTTAAGTCAGATTATTTAAATAAGATTGAATCAGATGATGATTTATTCAAACCTTTTCCACGAAAATAATCCAGAAGATATATCTTTATTTACCGTTTTACTTTCATTCAATGCTTTTTATGTGTATTTGTTGTCTATTTATATCAGATTCATGAAAGAAAGATATATATATGGCTGAACTTGAGAAAGAAGAAATGCACTCTGCGCAAATCGGAGCATTGAGTTTGATATCTTCCTTTTGCTTCGTTCGTCAGTTATGTAATTATAGTATGGCATCAAGGTCAAGAACGCAAAATAAAGAAACGAAAACTAGAAAAGTAATGTCGTATTGCAATAAAATCGAACTCAAAAAAAAAAAAAAAAAAAAAAGTTTTTAACTAACTAAAAAAATCAAGCTGCTTTGTTGTACTATGATGGAAGTTATGTCAATAAAACATTAAACTGCACTTAGCAATAATCTCCTTACACGTTGTTATCAGTGATCAAACAAATTGATAAATCAATCCACCATGTTTAAAAATGGATCTAGTGGTAAGGAATCGCTATTTTCTAGCTATAATGATTTAAATCAGATAAGACTGATTGAAATAAATAAATCTTATTTAAATCCAATAAATCAGATCTGACCCTTTGACGGTCAAGTTTGTTTTTCTCAAAAGATGTTTCCCAGTTTTTAGGTTTTGTTTCCAAAGGAACAGTATAAAGAGAGGATGAATGCACAGGTCTTTTTTCAAGCAGAGCATGTACAGTGCTTGCTAGCTATTAGGTTTAGAAGCATCAGATGAATACTTTAAAGGCAAAATGTCACCTTTCTTTCATTTGGATCATTTCGGCACTTCCACTTCCGCGACATTCCAGCAACTTTAGATTCCTACTGGAAGTACTATGTGTATGGGACTTGTCTGTAAGCAGTGTGCAATTATTAGACTGACTATAAATAAATAATAAATAAATAAATAAATATTTATTTTCAAGTGCCCAAAAACAACCAACAGGTCTTTTCTTTGGTACACATAATAAATGAGGAATTAAAATAACAGAGACATGGCAAAAATACACAAACGTTACAAATTGGCGACAAGCACTTTCATTTTCATCGCGAACACCCGAGAGTCGCTAAATATATCCACTTCAGCATTGTTGATGCGGTTAAAAAGCAGTTGGCAGCGTGATAAAGGCGAGAGATCACAGACAGACTATAGTATGAAGTGATGGCTCCACCCAGAAAGCTTGTCGAGGATGGGTTTTCAGGCATCTGGCGCCCATCTTGCCATGAAAAAGAAAGGGGTGCATTGCAGGACCCCGAGGCAATTGATGCTAAATCCTGTTTCCTCCATTGAGCTGTGTTGACCTCGATTTAGCTCTTCAGACTGTGGCTTTTGCGTCCACTGTGGATTATCTTTCTCCTTGCCCCCCCCCCCCCCCAAACACACACACACACACACACACACTTTTGCACAAAGAAATCTTTTTCCCCTCTTCCTTTCTTTTTTTTCTTTTTTTCTTTCCAAATTGGGGGTTAGAAGGCTAGCTGGGAAATGGACGTATGCCTGTGATGGTCTTCGACTAATCAAGAGCCTAATCGTTCCGCCAAAATAATGAAGCAGTCCTTTTCTCACTTCCTTTTTAGAGGCAATATCTTCACAATGGCTATTTCAGATGCAAAACGAAATTCTTCTTGCCATCTTTCTATTGTGACAGTCACACATTCTTTCTGTGTACTGTCCCCCAGGACAACCAGGTGCTGGTGCTTCTATTGCGCATGCTTGCCTTGGGACTCCAGGCCTGGGACATGATCAGCGGACAGCAATACAAGGAGCCCAAGCTGGTGAGATGCGCAGAAGTGTCTGGCTACTCTGCTTTTCTGAATATTGAACAGGAGAAAAGGCCCTGTGGGTTTTTCAGGGGCAAAGCGCTGGATGATTTTTATGGAGTACATAAGTACCGAAAATTTGGGGCATGCTTGAGCCAAGAATGGCGGAACATCATTAAAAATGTGGTGTGTCGCTGTCTGAGCGTCGCTGGCAGTGACTGCAGACCAAAAGGAGCGTGCTCGGAAGTGGCGCTGCGTCGCCGGTAGTCGCAACAGGCTAATCATGTGCGATGAGTCATGATCTGAAAATGGCGGAGCATTGGCAGCATCCAATAGGAAAGCCCACAGCACAATCAAACGGTGACATTACTCGGGTAAGTGGGAATATCCAGCGCTTTATTAAAAACGTCCTTCGGCCTTCGCACACTTTACTTGAACTTATTCTGCTTCACATATTCCAAGTTGTGTTGAGGGTATATTCTCTTAATGGTTCGTTAGGTGCTTAAAGGCCAACCAACAAGCAGAAAGAAGGAAACTCTCCCTCAATTCCTCCGTTTCATTTGAAAAAAAGGGACACCCTCCTCCCCTGTACTGGGAGTAGTTCAGAGATCCGCTCCTGTGTGGAGAGGAGGGGAAAAGTGGGCGAGTGGGAATGGAGAGAATGAAACTGGGAACCGGTTTGTTCCGCGGTAGAAGGCGATTCTGTTGGTCGGACTTTAAGGGAAGCTGAAGAGCTTTTCAAAAAAATTAGTTAAGGGTCCCTGAAAAGAAAAAAAAAAAGTTTTTTAAAACAGTCTGGTTGGGACACGCGTGTCAAAAAATGAATTTTACGCGAAAAAAAGAATTTTTAGAGCAATATTGACTGCGCCAGATGCAATTTACTCGGTGGTCACCTCCTTTCCACTTGTTTTGTCTTGGCATTTCGGGCGAGTGGAGGAGAAGTACTTTCCGCCTCTTCGTAGTGGATCGGCTTGGCTGCTTGCCTGGCTTGGTTGCGCCCCGTACGAGAGCCATTGCTACTTCCTGGCCGTGTTCCAAAATGTTCTCGCTCTTACTCCAGGGTAAGGGTTTTGTACCCTTGGCAGTCTAAAACCTACCCGCGTCTAGCTTTTTTCAATCTGTGCTGTCACGTGATACGATCCGCCGGAGTAACTCGGATCCATTTGGGGCATTTGAGTAAGATTTGGAACACAGCCCCTGTGTCTTCCGGTCGCACGACGTACTGTGTCGTACCATGGTCACCGTGGTGGTATGGTACACACAGTACATAGTCGTTGCGATGGACCCCGACCTGAAGCGTCGGTTGCTTCAGCGCTGCCAGCAGCTGAGCCTTTACCCGTACGAGGACACACCTCGCCAGCCGGAAGGCGTTTGCTCCGATCGCCGCAAAAACAACTGCTCGCGAAGCGGGTGCCTCGACGAGTTTATCCGAGCCGCACGACCTTCAAGCCACCACGAGGACACGCAGTGGTAACTGATTTCTTTTACTAAACGTTGAGTGCAGTGCCGCGTGCCTTCACTTAACGCGTTACAAAAACCGACATCTCAAAAAAAAAAAATTGGCACTGGCGCGCACCACCAGACAAACAAAAGATGGGGTAAACCAGATGCACAAATCACGCAAAGAAGAGCAGAAAAACTAAAACCTGTCACCCCGCTCCACTTCCTAAGTACTTGCAATGAAAAACACAAGCAACAAGCCCTTTTCAGGAGGCCTTCACATATAATCGTGATAAAACTATAAAACCACCCGAGGTACATCAGGTACGCGTTACAAGACGGTGACCATGGCAGAAAAAGATGGCGAAGCATTTGTTTGTCGTGGTATCCGAACAGAAGTTACGATTTTGTAAAACGTTTGTAAACAATTACGACGTTCATTCGATGGATTGTTTCCTAAACCTAAAAGTATGTAATTCAAAAGGCGATTTCAAGAGCTTACGAAGATTTTATAACCAACATCTAAGCTGTCACTCATTCTATTGGCCATTGAGGAGCTGACTTGAATGACCATTGTTACGAATGAGAAGCCGAGCTGAATGACATAAAATTTGCGTGCAAAATTTCAAATAAATCTCTCGCCGTCAATATTGCTCTAAAATTTTTTTTTTTTGCGTAAAATTCATTTTTTGACACGCGTGTCTCAACCAGACTGTTTTAAAAAAACATATTTTTTATTTTCAGGGGCCCTTTAATAGTTGATTCTGACGTGTTTGTGCCTGCTGAGTCCAAATATCACAACCGTTTGACCCACAACAGTCCCGAAACGTGAAAAAAAGTGAAAAAAAACAGAAGCGATCACCGCAGCAGCATGCCATTGGCTAGTCACGCAAGACGCGCCACTATGTCATAAAAGGGCCATCTCAATTTTCGGTTTCCCTGGTGCTTGCGGAAGTAGTCGCAAGCGCCAGGCTTGGCCTGGCGCTTGCAATTTACAAGAGCAGAAGCTGAGGCTTCTGCTCTTATAAATTGGGTTTGGCATCCGACTTGTCGAAATCTTTCGGTTGATCCGAAAGGGGAATGTATACAGAGGACCCTCTACGTGACAAAGTATGCGTTCCAGCCGTTGGCAAAGTAGAGAAATGACCCTCCGTGGTAGTACGGACAGACACGAGGAACCGCTTGCGCCGACGCGACATGGCCGGCTTCATACGTTCTGTAACATACTGGCTGCTACTTATTGTAACTTTTAAAGCGTTGACAGTAAACGGAGTACTATTGACGGGACACGTCAGGCTGGATTAGCTTGACCCTCTCCAAAACGGCCAACAGAGGACAAGAATTCGGCACACATTGGCCTTCATGCTTGGCAGAGCTGGACACGCAAGCGTGCAAGCTGCATTACTTACCAAGGCTGAAGTGGTTTGAAGGGATAGTGTAATCGGCTTGGAACGACTGGAGAGCTTTCCCTGAGTTGAGACGGGTGATGAGATAGGGTCGTTGTTCTACCACCGCGATGCCCTTGCGTACTACGCAAATAGCTGCACAGAAGGTTCATCCTTGCGATAGCGGTACCCTGTGCTGCGTTTTATTAGTTTGCCACCAATTGTTACGCAATTAAAGCTTTAGAAAAAGCGGAAATGTGTGCTCGGCAAACCTCAGTTGGATGTGGAATTTGGGAAAGCTTCCTGGCCCTCTACATTCACACGCACCTCCCAAGATTTGTTGACTGCATTAGACCGCCACCGAGCATTTTCATCGTCCGATCACATTTCTACGGCACAAAGAACCATTGCATGATACACGAAATTTATATGAAACACTCTGCGTAACTTGAAAGAAAAAACAAAAAAAAACTTTAATTTACAACAGATTGTCACATGCTTTGTATCTCCAAAAAGCGCTTCTGAAGAGAATATGTATGTACCCAGGGAAGGAAAGTTTAACAAAATTTATGTTCATGTTTAAAAAATATCTGATCTCAAATAGTATCGGCAACTGTAAAAAAAGGGGGGGGGAAAGTCCATGCTAAAACAAGTTGCACCATGAAAGTCTTCCAAGTGACTGGGTAACGGACTAGATTAAAAAATGAAATAAAAAATCTTGGGTAACGGAGTCGGTCCGGGTCACTACAACGATATAAAAAGAAACCAAAAACTAAAACACTAATATAAGGCGGTTCACACAAAAGAGCCAGTGGAAGCCCGCTACTATGCTACATGATCGCAGCTTTTGCTGTACTCCACACAACTAATAACATAATAGCTTTTCTTCTAGAACAGTCTACCTATAATTCCTACCCAGTCTAGTCTCTACTTTGCGTATGCCCTTTAATGCGCTGAGTTGCCTTCTTACCTTTAAAGGTGGTCGGCAGTACGTCGGGTTCAGGCGAGGCTTCTTCAGACCCAATCCCATACGTCCGTTGTTCTCATATGCGCGTCCGCAGCACATTCCGAACAGAAAAGAGGGTACTCGCTCAAACTCGCCTGTTCGCATAGCGGGAACCCATCGTTTTGAAATCTCGGTGTGGGGAGAAAGGGTGGTAAGCGGGAAGAACAAGTGCGACGAGCGCTTTTCGTGCAAGCCGACAGCTACACATGAGTACGGCATGGTGCAACAGCGCGAGTCAGTTGGTTCGGCGCCACGAGAATTCTGCAAAGCCGTGAACAAACAAGAGAATCATCCACACGTCAGACGATTTAGTCAATAGCACGACCCGTCAACGGGTAAAAGCAAGCGCTATGCGGAGCTAGAATGACGACGGCTCGAAAAGTCAGTAGAGCAGCCTACAAGGGAAGCGCGGCCAACCGCGGCGGGGTCCCTCAGCCGGACCTTTTGTGACGTCAGCTGACGGGCTTCCTCCTCTCCCCTTTCCCTCTGCTTCGGAGGGGCGTGGCTTCAGCACTACTTTGAAGGCGCTTTTCCGGTTAATCCACGCATAAAATGACCAAACCAATTTGATATTCGTGATGGCTGAAGTCAATTGACCAGGCTCGGGTGTTTTTTCTTCTATTTAAAACCGCTTCAGCTTCCCTTTAAATTTTTGAAAGGGGAGAAAGCAGACGTCTTAAAACTGATAGTAGATTGTAGTTTTGGAAAAATAAATTTGTTTAGCCTTCTCTGGTTCGCAAAATGTGTGAAAATTAAGACCCATGGAGATAAGCTCATATAGCCTAGTAGCAATCCATTCGCAGTGATTCAGTTGGCAACCAAACAGTGATTAGATGGCAAGCAGGGATTTGGAGAGGCACTAAAAGAACCGGAAGGTGTGCTCCCCTATGCTGATGAAACTGGCGTCTTTAAAACTACACCACAGGCATTCGCGGAGGCTATAGAAAAGAGGTATGACTCTAGGATAGCACACAAAATAATTACATGGATGTGCTCACATCTTGCAGAAAGGATGTCACGTGCATGAAAATTGTATAACACTTTGTTTGATGGCAGATGTTGAAATAGTGACTGTTTTCTAGAAAAGCCTTTGCAGATTTTGAAGGATCCCGGACCTCTCTTTAAAAACTGCTGGTTTGGAAGACCAGTGTTCAAAGCGGGCTTAGCCTGCACTCTGGTCTGGTGGGGATATAAAATTAGAAGCAGAAAGCAGCATAAATTTATTACAGTCAACTCTCGTTATCGCAAACGTCAGATTAACAAATTTTTCAGATTTAGGAAAATTTTAAAAATCTGTTTTCGACTTTTTTTATGGCGTCAATGTAAAAATATTGTAGTAGGAATTTCAAAATACTGAGTATCTCAGAACACCTCAATATTATGAATTCATTTCCTAAAAAAATGAACGGAAGATTTTGTGTTCTCCTGCTACTTGGCGGCTTTTGCCACTAGGAGGCTCCCGAGACTGACAACCATCATCATGAGCAAACATTGGTTGGTGGCAAGTGCGCCCTTATTGCTAAGTGCTAGGCCCTAGGTCTCGTCGCGTTGACCGGTGGGACTTCTTGCCAACTTCCTTGCATCTTGAGCTTTGGTTTTATTTACTGATGATTTCCTCTTCTCAAGACGGTTCTTCTGAAAATGCCAGTCCAACCAGTAGGTGTCAAGCGCCCAGACGAAAGCAATGGGAGCACACTGTGGGGCGAAGTTACCGAGAAGCTTGCCGTGGGACACTCTGGTGGAGTTGGAGGATTACGTGCTGTGCGACGATGCAGCGTGGACGTCGGCAGAGCGGACGTCCGAGGACATTTTAAACAACGTCCGCGAAAAGGATGACTGGAGCGACCAGAACACCCAGAACGATGAAGGTGCAAAGGCAGCGCTTGCGGATCGACAGGAAGAATCTGTCTCCACCTTCGATGTCCTGTGTGCCATCGGATAGTTGTTCATGGTCCTTGGAAGCTGTACCATTATGACCAAGGCGCTTGAAAACATCGACGACATGGAATCATTCATTGTGCAGTGTTTGTGCCGCATCTACCAAAAAAAGATTATGCGTGTCTTCTAATAGATGTGCTGTGTTCCATCGTGTGTACCGTAAAATACTGAGCGTCCGTCCATTCCGCGCCCCACCCTTTAATTTTGTAACATTTGCAATATACACAAAGGACATATGTTTACATTTTGTTGACCTAAGGAGAGCCCATCCCTTAGTTTTACACGATTGTCTCCAAATTTGAATGGGTGCTCGATCGGGATTTTACGGCAATGCTTTTTGATCAGAAACGACCAAGTGAAATCTTGTTGCAGAGGCAGGTTATTTATTTTTGCCCCAATTTAGTTATTATAGTGCCGATCTAAGAATTTTTTTTCACTATAGCAATATTCTAGAATAAGGAGCAATTTTTGGTAGTCTTGTCAAATTCGTTATATCAAGATTTGACTGTATATAGTGTTTTATGTTTGGATGTCATGACGTAATCTTTATAGTGTATAGTCTTTTAAGAGTAAATAGCTTCCCTGAGAACACTTTCGGGCAGCACAATTTTTGGCAGGGAGTTGTATCCGTTATGTTAGCCTATCCTCGCTTGTCCTGGAGGTTAACTCGCGGTGTTTCGTGCAGGACTCCCAGCTGGTGACCAAGTTCCTGCCAGCGCTGATGTCCCTGATGGTGGACGACCAGGTGAGTGTGCCGGCTTGGGGGGGCAAGACAGACGGGCGGCGTAGCCTGGAACGCGTCTTCGACCAGCGCGTTTGCCGTCCCATCTCGCCTATGCATCGAAGATGGTCTTGAAATGGCAACAAATTACATTGCCGGAGCCGGCGTGTCATTCCGGCGGATGTCGCATTCCCGGCGTAGAAATGCTAGCGAAAGAAGGCGACCAGATGCCAAAGTCGCCATCGTCGTGGCATTCCATCTCATATCTGCTTTGGTTTTTGTCGCTCATCCGACTGCGGAGCGTCTGCCACTTCTGCCTCTGCTGCCACGCCGCCGCCGGGATCGCAGCAGGCAACGACGCATGGAGGTGGGAAGCTTCTGGCGGTGACACGAAGCCACCAGAGGTGAAGCCACAAGTGTGGAAGGACACGCCCCCAACAACGACCAAAACCAAGAGACGCTGTTGGACGAAAAGGAGAGCCGAATCGGCGCCAACAGCCATTTGGGTGGGCCTCAGGCATGTCCGAGGATGACCGAAACGGCTGTTGGCACAAAGATGGCTCTCCTTTTCATCCTATAGTGTCCCAGTTTTTGTCATTGTTGAGGGCGTGTCTTTCCGCACTTCTGGCTTCACCTTCGTGACGTCGCCGGGCAGATGTCAAGAGACCACATTTGAGGACGCGGTGAATGCGCCGGTCAGAGAGGCACTCCAGGCACTTTACGTAGCATGGGGCGGCACCGATCGGACTGGGGGTGTGCAGGTGCGGAGCCTGAGTGCACGTCTGCCCCAAGACGACAGGGAGTCAGCCATCACCACCATCGAGCACTCGGGGCCTCCTCCGGACGCCTACCAGGCCTACGTGCAGGAGAACTCTGTGGCCAGTGTGCTGGCACTCTACTACACCTTCTCCACAGGTTGGTGCTCGCTGATTTTGGGGGATGCTTGAAAAGCCGTGGCATTCTTGCCTCCAGAACGATACAGTAACCCCTAACCCCTTGTCGACTCGAGACTGGGTGTGTCGGATCGTCCGTAAATTTGAAAATGTTGGGAATGTCGCCGAGTGAACCCTGTAGTTGCCTCAGATTGTTTTTTGCTCATAGTTTAGGAGTTCGAAAATAGGTCAATGGACCTTTTCCCAGTAACGAGCGCAATCTAGTGGGTTTTCTGAGAACTACAAACTAAGTGCAGCTTAAAATAGACGAACATTTGCTCTTTTTGCGTGCTATTATCCTTCGTAAGTCATCTTTTTCTTTCACTTTCATTATCGTGATTTTTTTGCCAACTAATTGCTATGTCGCGTTTTTCTCAAGCTTTTCATGAGCTACAGACCTCCCAAGAACTACGCAATTTTTATAATTAGTTTATAAATGAGATTTATTGCATTTATAATTGTCTTGTTAAGTCATCTTCTTTCACTTCCATTTTTGTAGCACAATTTGCTTTGGTCTTCAATAGCTTATCATCTAATAAAGTCATGAAAAGAAACATATTTTTACTGCAACACTCGCAATCCATGAAGACTACGGTGAATGAAGTACACCACGATGGGGTGCAAGGTTGGCCGTGGTACGACAGATGAATCCAAAACTCGGATTTTCGTTGACCCTTTTCCTAGAATGCCCCTCAGCAACTAGGGACACTCCAGTTTTGTTTGTTGCAAGTAGACCAATCTCACTTGTGTGACGTTGTCATAACCATAATCCACAAGAGGCAGGCACCTGTGCTCAGTATAGCTTGTGCTGTCTCGTGCAACAGAAAAACTGCAGTTCCCGTGCTGCGTTGCGACATTGGGGGTGTAACGAAATAGACTACTTTTAAAAATCCTCGCATGCAACGCTGTCTGCGTTGCAGTATGGGGACCTCTTTGGTTTTGATTTTGATTGACCCATTGACGAAATGATGCATCTCAGCACTGAATTAAAATAAATTCAACGCTCTCTTGCATTGCGCCCATTTATTTTTGAGTCAGTTGAAACACGTACCTTCAGCGGACGTAAGGACCTGCCTAGACTTAATGAGGAGTAGGAGTAAGGCCTGCCGCGTCCTGTACCCTTCTGGCAAACTGGTTACCACTCCAGAGTGCAGCGCGACCCTGCCGGATCACGGATCATTTAAGAAGCCTAGGACATTGAGATGATGAAACAGGATGATCGGCCCAGTTCAAGTCTTCTTGTACCTTTGTTTACCTGCGTACAAACTCTGGTACATCGGGAGCCCCAAGAAACGTGTCCCAGCTTTCTATCAGTCTTGGTAAGCGACCGCATAAATTTAAGGATAGTCGCATATCTGAAAATGCGTGCACTTTATTCAGTCGGGGAGGGAGGTTGTGAATTGAGGTTGGCAAACCAAAACGGTGGCTAAAAGGTACCCAATATGCTTTGCGCGACACTATGCCACTAGTATCACTTCAATTTTGTTAGAGGCCTATTGGCCAATGAGATTGGTCTATTGCACTCACTCAGCATTAGACTTCAAAATGGCAGCACCCATGCAGAAAATGGGGAATGTAGCACTGACACTCTAAGCCGGGGTTTCTCAAGCCTTGGGAACACATATCTCTTGAACGGCAACCGAGGAACCTCCCCTGTTCTTGGCATTAACGCAGTAAACCACTGCAAGCCTACAGGCCTTGTAAAGAATAATGCAGATACCAGGGAATATTTGCCACACAGTTATGCATCAATGGATGGCTCGGATCTTCTTCGATAGTGCTTAAACTGGGAGAACACTATACTTACAAACAGGGACGGTCAAGGAAATTTGGTAGCTCAGGGAACCTCGGAGGGTTCCTGAGAGAACTCCCGTGTTCTTAGGAGCCGAGTTTGATAACCCAAGCTTGAAGCGTAGCCTGTTTATTTGGTCCAGAGCTCGAGTTCAATGTGAATGACGGAAGGGTGTTTGTGTTGCAGCGCGTCAGCGGGATCGCCTGGGCCTGATGCGGGTGCTGGGATCGTTGGCTGGGGCGGAGGGCCAACGTGCCTACCAGGACCCCTTCCTCCACACCCTGGTGGGCCACCTGGTGCCCCTGGGAGAGGAGTTTGCCCACGAGGACTTCTGCACAGTGGTATTTGACGAGTTCTTCCTGAGTGCCCTGAGCGGGGCCTCGGCCCTACCTGCGGCCAGGCACCTGCTGCGCCTGCTCTGGCACATCCACCCGAGGCTGCCTCATGCCCGCCTGCAGGGCTTACTCAAGGCGCTGCAACCTCTGGCTCAGGTGAACACCTTGCTGCTGTACTGCTTCCCTCGAGGTATGCCGAGGAACACTGTTAAGACCTTTTCACACACACGCCACAGTGCTATTAGTCAGCACTGGAAATATTGCTGATCTAACTGATGTAGCCGTAACTTGTCACTATATTAGTCATACAGTGTGGATACAGCACTGCATCCGTGTATGTTCAAGTCAGTGCTGAATCATCATTCCTTGTGTTGATTTAGCACTGCGATGTATGCGTGAACAGGGCTTAAGTGTGAACTGAGCATCGACGTGGACCAAGCTTGACCAGTTGGGTACCTACCCTGAATGAGGATTTTCTGCCACACTTATTGTTTCAATGGCCACCATCAAATTTTGAGGTAAGAAGAGTAAAAACTGGAAATGGCTCGTTCGTACTAACATTGTCGCACTCTATACCGCGTCTTTTTTCCTCTAAACAAACTGTGGTGCAGTTTCTCAATCAATGGTCATGGATTGTTTTCTGAAGTAGTGGTTGGGGTGTTCTTGGTGCAGATATATGCATTCATTGAAGTCAAGGGCTCTTGAGCCCCCCAAGCAGCATACTCGCGTGGCTTGTACCGCAAAATCTCAAGTTAAAAATTCAAAAAATTATTTCTTCTATGTCCATGCTTTCTGAAAGGTCTCTAGACAAAACTATGTTCAGCAGTGCCTGCACTCAGCGTCTCCTGCTAAATCCGTCAGAATGTTTCTCCGACCGTGATCTTTGGAAATTTATTATTGTTGCCACTAGTCGCACTATGTTTTGCAGCGTAATTTGCACAGGCCACTACCTCGGGTCAAGTTCCAAGTTTATTCAAAGACAATTCCACGCTTTTATATGCTCATTTTGTGTTCCTTCATCTAGCACCTCATATCAGTTGTATGTGTTAACTTTTAACGCGATAGCATATGTCGCAGAAAAGCTGATGTCGGTGGCATTGTGACAGGAAAATGCAGATTGGTCGATAGGGTCATGAAGTCACAGCCACATGACCTTGCGCGGTAATTTCAAACAACCCACAATGTCACGTGAAACGTGATGTCACACATGGAATCAGTAATTGAAACATGACATAAAATCCAAATTCAAGGTTGCCGCATGTCTCAAATGATTTCACTTTATAAAGTAATTCATTTGCCTTAAAGGAAATATATAAAGAATTTTAGGCTTAAGCGGGATTCAAACCGACGACTCTTCAGTTGCGAGCCAGCCACGCTTGCACGGCTTGGGAATGACCGAAGTTTATATGTTAAGCTATCGCATTCCACACTCAAAGGGCAGCTCCGGTTAAATTTCAATGTCGAGAAAACAATGCACTCCTGCGTCATATCATCTGCAAAGCCTACCTGTAAAATAATATGACGCAATTCTGCCTAAAAGTTTATTAAACCAGCCAACGAAGTCGGAGCAGCTCCACGGCCACCAAAATCCGCCCAATCTAGCTGACGATGCGCAGCGCTTAGAGCAGTGCAGTCAGTGCCGGTGTGTGGACACAGCTAACACTGTGCTGAACGTCAACAACTAGGATTGTCTTGTTTGTTCGTTACTTTCCGAGGCGCGGAGCGTAATGGCGAGAGAGAAAAGAGAGATTGGGGGATGCCATCTGCCACTTTCATTGAGGACGTAGCCAATGTCTCCGTACCACGTGATGTCCGGTAGTTGACAAGCAGGACCAATGTTGCCAGCCGCAGGCAAAGTTTCGGTTTTGCTTTGTGATCTTCGTTTATATATTTATTTATTTTATTCGTTCAATACCGCAACTTTATTGAGGCTTTAGCAGGGTGGACACTGTGGTACAGCAAGATACATCAATCATCACGCAAAAAGTACATGACAGTTTTAAAACACATGCTGCAAACTATGTCCCAATCGCCAAGCCGGTTCGCACAAATGATTATGATACACTTATAAAAAACATTTCAAAACTCTGTTGAGTAATTGAAAAACATATACTTTCATCACACTAACAAAAAGGTAAAAAATATAGGTATAAAAGCAATATTCAGCAGTGCTCTTGGTGACATGATCACCTATCAATGGCCAAAAAAAGGAAAGAAAGGAAGTAAGAATTCGGTCGTTATGAACACACAATAATTCAAAAACCTCATTTGCTTTATTTTCGGCTTGGGGAAATATATGTGATACTTATCTTTTATTCTTAGTCTGCTTTATCAAGTTGTGATAGGAAGGTTGCCAGAAAATCATTGCCTACAACTTCTGGGTCGAGGCAATTCCATTCATGAATTATCCTAGGAATGTATGATTGCGCTTAGACATTGTTATGGCTGGAATATTCTTTCAATGAAAGCAAGTGAGAATGTCTTGTAGTGCACGGTTAGAAAAATGAAATGTAGTCAGTTTTATTTATTGTTAGCTGGTTATTTACTAGTAGGAAATAGATTTTAAGTCGCTCCCATTGACGTCTCAAACTGAGGCTTTTAAGATTGGCAGCTGCTATTGGGTGGTTGGTGATACCGATCCACTATACGAGCTGTACACAAATCATGCTGCCTTTTGTTGGATATGCTCCAGTCTATCTTTCGCTGTTGCAGTGTAAGGGTCCCAGACTATTGCCGCATGCTCAAGGATAGGCTGTACATATGTTTTAAATGTGAGGAGTCTTACTTCTGAAGGTGGACAGTCTTTGAGAAATTGCCTTAAGTATCCCATTTTCTTAAATGCTTTCTTTAAATGAAGTTTGCAAGAAAACTATAAAAATTTTTGGAAAACTAATGACATTGAACCGTTTATTCATTGTTTTGACTTGATAATCACCTGTAATCCTAAAATGTTTGGAATTGATCAGAGTTACCCTTCAAAGGTGGAGCTTAAGCGTCCTCCTGTAATTTATTTTTTCCTTTCATATTTGAATTTTTTCTGTTTCCACCTTATTATTATGTGCTTCTATAATGCCCTTTTGGGTCTTTTAGGTTAGGTTACCATAATATAACCATGATCATTCACGGGTTAAGGATTCCGTAGGTGCCTCGCCTCCAGCACAAGCTTGTAGCTTCCTGCTAGACGTTGGCTCCATTTGCGTTGAAGTGCTATCAAAGGCAGAAAGTTCTCACTGAAGGTGTAGCCAACTACTGAATTCTTAACCTGTCACCAAGTATAGGCTTTTTATGCAGTAGAAAGAGAAATAAAATAGAGCACAAAGGGAGAGAATACGATGAAAGAAAGATGTGTTTACAAGAGCAGTGCATTGTCTGTGGTGCATCTGTTGGTTTCTCCTGTACCATTATGCTTGGATTAGTTGTTGCACAACTCGTAGTTGACTGGAGGGTGTCTCTGATGCAGGCCCATGAGACCCTGCAGCCAGCAGTGCAGGCCTTGCAGGAGAAGGTGAAGGAGCCTGCCATAGTGGAAGCCCCAGCCTCGGACTCACCCCTGCTGAGCGTGCCAGCCCCCACCCCCATCTGAGGGAAGGCAGCGAAACGGCGATCCTTTGCCACAAGTCACAAAACAGCCGCAGACCCCAAGGAGACCATTGCAGACGGAGGGGGACGAACTATATGAATTAATGCAAAAACTATGCATGCAAACAGACGAAACTCCACGTTGGGACAGTAGAAAATCAGATGGAAGGTTCTGCTGGAAATTCGAACTTCTTGCCTACGCATTAAACTTGTCCAATTTTTTGGTGGAACGAAACTTCAGGAAGAGAAAGTGGAGGAAGACAGTGAGCCAAGGGTGTCCTGACGTATTGGGGCTAATTGCAGGAAGCACGGAATAGGAGAATAGCAAGCAGCTAAAAACAATGTCATATAATTGGATTTTTTTTTTTTTTTTTTTTTTTTTTTTTTTTTTTCAGTTACAATGTTGAGATGGGTTATGCGCTTGAATTATTAAAAGCATGTTGTGGTTCGGACTATGCTGTCATTTTCTGGCATTCAGACATTTTTATACTCTATATAGTACCATTCTCTTTGGGGATGATATGTCATGCTGTGGAAAGTTCAGGCATGAACCTGTAGCCTTAGAAACCACTTTTGTTTCCCAAGTGCCGGGCATTAAATAGAGAGAGGCATTGATGTAGAACAAACTCTCGGAAACATAAATATTTAGAAGCTTGCCCTACTGAGCTAAATACATCATCACAATTTTTCTTTTTTTAATTTGTTTTAGCAAGAAATACAGATTTGGTTCAGGTGCGTCAGCAAATGTGCTCTGTAAAAGATTGAAATTAAAAACATATCAGCCGTAATAGATATGTACTTTTCCACATAGTCTTCTTCAAGTGACCTGGCAATGAAAGGTGCACTCTGGCCAAAGCAAGAAATTAATTGCTTCTTTTCAGCAATAGGGCATAGATAAAAACAACATAATTAATTATCAAACTATATCTTAAGAAGTCAAGACTAACCAATCCACTGCATGAGTGCCAAAAAATCGTTTTCACATTCTAGGCTCTTGCACAAAGGGGGGGCAAAGAAAAGTCAGTATTTCACAGAAACAATATAGCAATATCCCATCACTGAACCATTTTTCCCGACATTCTTTTCAAGTCCCATTATGGCTATTATTCCTACTAGATTATTCTGTGTCGGTTTAATACAACAATTCATGGGCCCCCTGTCTGAGCAAGCTCAAACACCTGAAACATCGCCTTTTCTTTAGCTAAGGACATTTCCAAATAATTTGTGTTGTACTTTGTACATGAGCAGGTCAAGGCACAAACAGATTGTAATTAGTAATTTAAATGAGCTAACAAACAATCTACTCTTTATAACCTTTAGCTGTCTCTATGCAAATGTGTGTTTCCGTAGTTGGTGACAGGTTAAGAGTTCAAGGGAAACGCTCCCACCCCTTCGCACTTTAGCAAAGCGAACGTTGGAGAGGATGTGACCTCCTTTCCCACATTCGCTCGTCTAAAGTGTAAAGGGGTGGGAGGAGCTTCCCCCAAACTCTTAACCTGTTACTGGCTGTAGTATGGGAACATTGCTTGTGACGTGTTGGGAGTAGTCCCCTTTCTTCTCTGAGCGATGTCACGGAGGCACTCGGCCATGATCCAGAGCCTGTGGAAGCTGCGTCCACACTCGCCCCGTTGGTCTTCGTGCTCCACGTGGAATGCGGCAAAGTCCACGTCCATGCCGCGCTGTTGCAACTCCCTCAGCACATCGCTCATCTGTTTGGTCAAAATACTTCGTTGAGTCTTGTGCTTTCTTCACTGATACTCCTGTCAGTTAAATGACTGCTTACAAACAAACTTTTAGTATACAAATATCCAAACACAGCTAGGTGACTGGTGCATGATCCTGTCGCTTGACATCATAACTTTGAGTTAGATACTCTTGTTTTCAGCCCTTTACTCAACGCTTCCACTAAACTAGGACAGCAGAGGTGTTGGAAGAAATTATTGCAGATCTCGGGTAACGTGCTAGTTCTCAACTCGTCCATGCTTTGTGATAAATGAGGAACAGCACACATGCCAAGTGTCTGTTAAATCTGGAGGCTAGTTCTCAACTCGTCCATGCTTTGTGATAAATGAGGAACAGCACACATGCCAAGTGTCTGCTAAATCTGGAGGCTAGTTCATCCTATAAAACTATGGTCTGAAAGAAAAAAAAAAACGCCTGTCACCTACCTTGAGTTGGATGATTTGGGCTGTTTCGAATGTGTCCACCAAAGAGTTTCTTTCATTATAACGGAATGTTCCCATCTGGAGCTCATCTTGTAAATCTTCGCTGAATCCAATTGAATTGCAATGCTGCAAGTGTAGGAAGTATATGGAACAAGCCACCCATGTTCAAATACCACATACGAATACAGTTCTGGTTGAGACTTAAAGTATAAGTATGGTAACTCTATGTAGAAGGCAACCCATTGAGATATCCTTTTTCTTTATTCAGTTCCCATGCAAGAAGAAAAACATTTATACTCAACATTTCTTCCTCTTAAGAAACGCTCTGCTTCCAGGGCTTGGTTAAAGTGCGATGCTGTCTCACGGCTCAATTGGGCTGTAGATTGTCCGGTGATTATTGATAAGGGAAATTTATATATTTTTTTTCTGTATCTTTATTTTTGAAACATTGATGTATTTTAAATGTCTGCTTCAGACGGATGCTAAAAACTAATTATCGGTGAAAATAACTCGTGAAAAACGAAAAGCTTATGAGTGGATTATTTCGACATAAACTTTCCAAGCAAAAATAAAAATATAAAAAAATTATTTTGCCATTGCAACTGTTTTTGTATTTTTGATGCCAAAATGGATGCTTATTGGTGTTTCTCGGTTTTACCCATTTTTCTATTTTTAACACTGTCTGATGATTATCGAAAGTGTTCTGTTAAAACTGGAAGTTCTATGCTCTACATATAACGTTTTGGCGAAAACATGATATTGTTGCTGGCACCAGGGGTGGGCGATCTGTGCGGTCGCCCAGGGCACATCAAAAGAATGGTGACGCCGCGCCTCCCCTTTAAATATATATATATATATCAGTGTGTCGAACCGAAAAACATACGGGTTCGGTTACGGTTCAGGTTCAGGTAAATTTATTTTGTTCCGGTTCAGTTCCGGTTCGATTAATTCGATCCGCGAACCGGTTCGGGGCGCTGAACCGGTTCGCGAACCGGTTCGGAAACTATAAATGACAAATTGCAACATCAAAATAAATTACAAATAAAACATCTGAAATCAGCACATACGAAACGGGATACATCGTAGTGTAAGGCTCGGGGATTTCTACCAGGAATGGTTTCTTTATGTGCACTCAAAGGTTATCTCACCGACGTTTACGCATTCGGACTTCATCTAATTGGGTCCGACGCAGTAGCTGTAAAATCCGCGACCTCCTTACAAACCCACTTACAAGTAGAACTCGCTAACTATCCCGCCACCTCGGCGTGTAAGCAATTGGAGGAACAGTGGGGAGAAAATACAGCTTTCTTTATTTGAACTAGCCTTCGGTAACTCAAATTAGACCCTTAAAGAAGTTTTCATTGAACAAGATACGGAATATGAAAAACACTTCACGAACGCAACGCCAGAAGGACGTAATAGGATAAATATTAAAATAGAAGAGTTCGCTGTCTCACAAATATGTTAGCTTCTAAGTGCCTATACGAAACCGGATGCATTATTATCAAACTCCACAGCCTTCTCTTTTCTCATTCCGATGGAAGCAAGCTTCAAGAACTCGCTCGTTCTAGAAACGTGTTATGAAATGAGCACACAGCAGCATTTAGGATTTACGAGGTTGTAGAAAAATAAAATCCCGTGACGCGATTTTTTTTTTTTTTTTTTTTTGCACAGCCTTTTAATTTTCTTTTTTCCGTGCAAGCCGCGACCAGCGCAATACTGGTTCCTATGTCAAGATTCATGGATGCAGCGTTTATATTCCTAAGACTGAGTGGAGAAGAAAAATATGTAAGCGAGGTGTGTGTCAGTTGCAAATGGCATTGATAGCACATTCATTGTCAACAGCGCGTGGCCGAACCATTTTGACATGAGCCGGTAACCGTTATTTTTTTCCGGTTCAGTTCCGGTTCGGGTTCATCGTGATAACAATATAACGGTTCGGGTTCAGTTCCGGAAAAAATACCGGTTCGGTTCCGGTTCGACACCCTGATATATATATATATATATATATATATATATATTTTTTTTTTTTTTTACTTTTTGATTTATTTGAACACTGCGCCCGACACTCGAGCGCCGTTCGTTTTCTGTGAATCTGGAGGAAAGGTGAGTGGGCAAGTTCACCACTTTTCAGGTAAAACCGGAGAGAAGCTCACCACATAGCCAACAGATGTGAAAGAAACCGTACCTCGGACCTTATTTGTGTAATATTGTGTGTGAAATGGTGGCAAAATAATTTATATATTTGTAATGTTCTAAACAATACTTGAGACGCCCTTTCGTCGACTCCTTAAATCCCTCTCAATTCATATTTTTTTTCACCCTTTTAATGGTTTTACTTTTCCTGATCTTTTTTTTTTTTAATTTGGTGATTTCTTTGGGATTGTTTTGAGACTCGTATAATTCCAGAGTGTGTGTGTGTATTGGGGGAGGGGGGCAGGGGCAGGTCGCTTCATCGAACATGTTTTATCGTTTCCGCGTACTTTGGATGCGTGCCATCAGAAAACGCGGTAGCACAGCAGAGAATTGGACTCTCGTCGAACATTGTTTTGGAGAATCCGCTCGTAAAACCGTTTGCACAGCGACAATCACAGAAGAAAACACTGAAATAAAGATGGTTCCTGACAATCAATTTTCATTCGTGTTCTCCACCTTAAAGTTGGAAGAGATTTTATGGGATTCAGGAGGTTGCAAATGGAAAGTTCTGTATGTGTGATGTCGGTGTCCGATGGGAAAAGATTAAACTAAACACAGGGTGTCACAAAAAAAAAAAAAAAAATACAGGGTATTTTTTTTTACCGCAGAAATAAATTAGGCATCGCCGAACGCTCATTCTCCGCCCAAAGGTAGCGCTAGAGGTCACAACCAGATGCCATAGTTTCAGCCCGATCCGATACCTTATTCAAAAGAGTGACTTTCTCAAAATTTCAAAAGGAAAATGGAGCCCACTTTTGCCCGTTTTCGGTTTCTGGTGCCCATGGAGCCCCATGTATTCGAAAACTCCGTCGGGGGCCATTTTCCCATTGAAATTTTCAGAAAAGCACTTAAAACTTTTGATTAAGGTATCAAATCGAGCTGAAACTTTGGCATCTGGTTGTGACCCCTAGCGCTACCTTTGGGCGGAGAATGAGCGTTCGGCGATGCCTATAGTTTATTTTCGCGGTTAAAAAAAAAGGAAAAAAAAGAAGCTCTGTAATTTGTTTTTTTCTTGTGACACCCTGTATGTTTTCATGTTGATACGTGTGCTTTACTTTTGCAACTGGCGATTTTATGGTGAGCTCTCCTCC